TTCCGTGCAAGCCCAAGGCAAGAGATGCCAATGAATGACCAACACATAAACAAACCTTGCTGCTCCCAGGTTTAACAGAGAACAAAGTTGAAATTAATAGTGAAAATGAGGTTTATCTGTGTAATCTGCAGACTTGGGCCTTCCCATCTCCCATTAGCATAGATAACGGAGCTGTCTGGTCTGCATAGTGATAAAGAAGTGGAAGATAGTTTCCCATAAATCTCCATGGCTTGTCTCTAGCTTCCCTGGCTTGGGTCTTCCCAGGCTGGCTGTCATTCTCCCCTCTCAGCTGCTCCCTTCCAGCCCTAACCTCTGAGCCCAGTCAGGGTCCAGGCCCACATTCCTTGCCCTTCCTGTATCTCAGGAGCACTAGGGCCTTTCCCCGGGAAACTTTCTCTGTTCCAGCTCACTTTGCGACTGGAAGCATTTCACATTTACTGTCACCAAATGAACTGCTGGACACCTTAAACACAGACTCCTGCCCAAGTACAGGGTTCCAAATGTCCTCTACTCGGACTTAATTTTCTCCATTATAAATGAAACTACTTATCACTTTAAATGCATTTTTTGTAGACCTCAGAAGCCACCAGAAAGGAGAAATAAATAAATAAACCAACTCCTCATGTTCTGAAGCCATGAACTGCCTAAGTATTTTTCTTTTGCTTTTGACCAAACCTACTTCCATGAAAACTGCTATGCTCAGTAAATTGTTTTTAAATCAGTACATTTCATAAAATTATAACGCGCTTTGCTCTAAAATTGAAGTTCTTCACACAGTATGTTCTACCATAGATGACTTAAAAATTCATAGTAATTAAAATAGTATCATCTTGCCGAACTAGCTTCAGTAATAAATGATGGCAATGGTTGTAATGATAAACAGGAATAAAAGCATACATGTATTCAGCACCTACTATATGCTGAACTCTCTCCTATTATCTCATTCATGTTCCCTGCTAACATCTGTTTTATAGTTAAGGGCACTTATGAGACACAGGGACCCTGTTCTTCATCTATGAATTGGTATTTTTTAAAAGTTGGGTAAGGCCCTTAGTATTGAGAACTGATCAGTATTGGATACCTGGTTACTATGTATCCTCTGCAATGCAATAAGTCAAATCAAAACAAATTAATAAATCCAGGTTTAATAAACAGAGCAAAGCACTCCTGGGTAACTCTGGGGAAGGCCGGAGAGAGATCACCTGGCAGGTCTGGTGACGACCAGGTCTTAAACAGCCGGTAGGCAGGGTCTTGATCAGTTCCTGGAGTGGAGCTGACCCTTTGTGGGCTTTCTGAGGGACAGGGTCTGAACTGGAGGAGTGGAAGCTGAGGAGGAGCTTCTAGCTAAGACAAGAACATCTTCCCAACCTGAGGGAGATTTTCTCTTGGGCAAAGTCTTCAGATGACACCTACCAAGCTGGAGGAGAGAACGGTGTGAAATACAGAGTTATCATAGAAAACCAGCCTTCCTTAGAATCTTCTATCAGTAATCCAATTCTCATGAAGATTGTGTCAGCAAGGTTCCTGGGACCCTCCTCTGAGGAAAGCTTATGGCACTCAGCCCCTCTCTTCTGTTGGGTTCTGCACTCAGTGCCTCTCTTCTATGGGGTCCTACCTCAACCACTGAAGACCCCAAAACATTCACAACTGTCTCTAGGAAGCAGACTATACAGTGATTTTTTTTCTTTGTCAGCATTGACATAAACTTTTAAAAACTGAGAAAATATACGTAGTTACTTGCAATATTTCTGAAGTCATTTAAGGTTATTTTTTTTGTTTTGTTTGTTTGTTTGTTTTTAATGTGAGGATTTTTTATGTATTCCATTGTTGTTGGTGTTTGGGGTTTTTTGGTTTTAACTTTTCTTTAGAGGCAGGTTGTTCAGCATGATTAAAGTTAGGGACATTGACTAGTGAAACCTGGGTACAGAAGTCTCAGAGGGATTGTGTTGGGCAGTTAGTACCAAACCCCTTACATTACAGCTGGAGAATCTTAGAGCCCAGAGGAGTGAGGCTCTCCCAGGGCCTAAGTGGGAAGCTGGCTCCCACATCTCCTTGGTTCATCTTACAGGGATGCTGCTCTAAGGCAGCCTCACAAAGCCCAGGCCAAGAAGGAATTAGCAACAGTGTACAATCCAAATGCCTTTGCTGAATGCTTTGTAACTATACTTTTAGAGGGAATAAGAAAGCTGATGAAAAAACGCTATGGAACCTTCAGAGCATCCAGCTAGCAGTTCCTACTCAACACAGGTGACAGACGGAAGCAGAGGAAGGTGAGTGGGACAAGGGATGCACAAGGGACGATGCTGCAACTACTAGATTATTCAAAAAGTCTGCTAGTGCCTACAGCAGTGCTGAGAAAGCTCAGAAGGCAAAATGATTCTTATTTCATATTTCCAGTCCGACTCCCCTCTCTGACTTTAATCTAAAAACGACTGCATCACACCAGTGCTCAGAAAAGCAGTATTCACAATAGTCAAAAGGTGGAAATGACCCACATAGCCACTGGATGAGTGGCACATATAGAATGGAACATGAATGAGTCTACCTTGAAAAGGGATGTACTAATATATCATACAACATGGACGAATTCTGAAAACACAGGAGAAAAAAGATAACGCAAAACGTTAAGTATCATGTGATTCAGCTTACACGAGGAATCTAGAGCAGGAACCTTCACAGAGACAGGATGAGAATGGAAGATGCCAGGACTGAGGGCAAGGGGAACATGGGAAGCCGGTATATATGTGTTAGTACAGAGTAAATGGGGAGTGGTGGTAGTGTAAATACCACTGGGCTATATACTCAAAGGAGCTTAAACGGTAAATTTTATGTTACATATTTGGCACCAAAACAGTCATTCCTGCCATTTTTTTAATTTCAACCCTAAAACTTTTATTCTTTTATTATTGTGTTTTATCTCAAGACCTGCTTCTAGCCAACCACTCCAGTCATGTATATTCCCAGAGTCACAAGGGCCACTTCATGCCCTGCAAATGACACTAAATATCTACCCACCCTAAGGCCTCCCACCTGATGACGCTAACAAGAAGGCCCAGTGTGACCAAACACTCTGACACAGAGGCCCAGCCCAACCTTTGGAAGTTCTTACCATGGAACACATATGTGTTGCACATATTCTTTCCTTTTCTTTTTCTCTCTCTAAGGAAAGCTGTGCTCCTAAAACAGGACAACCTCAAGAACATCTCAACTTCTCATCCAAGACCACTCCACCAGGTCCACAACAAAGAGATGAAGTCCATGTGTGGCTACATAAGCCAGCTGCAAGGCACACTGAACAGTGGGTGTCCCCCATGAAGGTGCCTTCAATTAGAAGCAAAATCTTTGTACCTTTACAGGACAGAGGACATAATAAGCAAGATGTAACATCTGTGACTTCTGAGGGAAGAAGAGCTTTTCATTTCCCCTTAAAAGAATCTGCTTCTCATGCAGCAAAGAGAACAAGAGTATTCTGAAACAGATGGCAGTGGCCGGAGAATCTGAGCTTTTCCAGTTGTGGTCCCAATTCATCACCCAGGCCTGCCAAGTGCCAGTCCCATGCATGCCACAGCCTTTCGTCAACTTTAACATACAGGCTTTTGCACCTTCACCGTGGCAACAAGGCTAGTGGTCTGAGAGCTCGACCTTCTAAGTAAGTATTCAAGACCTCAAGAGCTTTCTTTGAAGAGCAACAACCATTAGGGATCATCTCTTCCCAATGCCAACACACATGGACATTTACACAAGGGTTAGGAGCCCACTTACACACATGTCAAAACCACACTAGGATATTTAGAGACAAACATCTTTAGAATAATGTCTTGTTCCCAATGTACTTAATTAGTTAGCACACACGGATGGTGCTAGAAGCCTGCCTTTGAAGCCTAACCTCCGCTTTACTCTTTCCAGAAGAACAAATTTCCCTCACTGGACAGTCAAGAATTGATGTGGACACTGAAAACCAACAATCTTGGGTGTCAGTACACAAAGTGAGGTCCACCTTTCCAAGCAGGCAACGTCCCCTGTCGCCATTGAATTAATCTGTAGAGTCAAAAGACATTTTCTCTATTCATCCTGGATGAGCAAATGCTCCTACAGCCAAGTTATGTCTGAACTTTTTTGACACCTCTCACTGATCTCCTCTGGGCCCTGCACCTTTCTCCCACCACCAACTCCAGCTGGTTGTGAATATGAGACCCTAAGTGAAGGCTTCACAATTCAAACGAACCTATCCTTTCTTTAAGCAGAAAGCAGCCTCCAGAGTAGCTCCATTTGAAGCCAAAGGCCAGAGAGCCAAATGGTGGGCTTGTGAACAGCAAAACTGACCAGTAAAACCACGGGTATGTGATGCCCAGGTATGGCAATATGGGCTTCACTCACAGGCCCAGGTCCCAGATCATCTGTCTATTCACGGTGTTCCCTTTCAGGTGCCATATCTGCATGCTGGGGAAGCACAGATTGGGGGAAAAGTGCAGGCTATGGGTCTGCACATAATTGATGCCCCTAAAATCTGCGACCAGACACAAAATGTCACTTGAAGCCAAGGCTTACCACACGGGTGGTTTTCAGTGAGAGTGGGCAAGTAGTTGCTGGAATGACTGACCATGTGGGGTTCTTCAAAACTTGTGAATTTACACACAAGGGAGGATGGAATGCTAGTGAAGGTTGCCCCATGCCCCACTTGGGGATTTCAAACCCTACCACCACCATTGGCCAATGGTGCTCCAAGGAGAATGGCAGATACCATCAGGGGGCTCAGACATGGACTCCAGCAGGAGTGCGGTAAACTTCTGCCTTCCACCCCCCCTCCCAGCCTGCATCCCCCACCCCAGTTGTATTTATACTTCGAAGGAAGTTAACAGTGAAGCAGTAGTCACCGGGGCGTGCTCAGTTTTTGACAAGCCTTAGTCACTCTGTACCCAGCAGAACAATTCACATTATATTCCAAAGCCTGTGAAGACTGCCACACAAGCTAACACTAAAATGCCAAGAGCTCCACTTACCTTCTTTATTAAGCCTCATAACCTCCCTGCTTTTGCCACCCTCTTTTCCAGCCTCTTCTAAATCTACATCTGCAGATGAAAAAGAAAAGGAAAAAAGAAAATGAGGAAAAAAGGGGGGGAAAGCCAAAGTCAAGGGGGGAGGGAGAATGTTTATTGGCAAACAGATCGATATAAATACTGTATCTGAAAATCTTGCAAACATTGACAATGCAACATTTTCTCCCGAGTCCGGGTTTCCATCTACCTGGCCCAGATAGGTACCAAAAAAACTAAGCAAGCAGCAACAGAGTCGCCTTTTAAACAGATACCACTGTGAGGCTGCTAAAGCCCACCCCGCGGGCTGCCTGCCCCAGGGAGCCGGACACAGACAGACAGACAGCCTTGCTGGCAGCTGGGCCTCTCTGTGCTCTGATGGTCTGTGTCTGTGTGTATTTATTTAGAGAGAGAGGGAGAAGCATGGAGGACGCCGGGGGCCACTCTCTCTCACACACACACTTTTTCCCAGTGGCTCTAGGTGAATGGAAAGGTTACAGGATAATAAAAGGAGGAACAGGCCGTGGGGTTCTTACTGTCGGAGCAGTGTAATTTGGCGGCGTCGATCCAGGAGGACCAGGGTTTGCCCAGAAACGCCTCCGGACTGGGCACTTTGCGGTGCAGTGTCGCCATTGCTGTTCCTTCTTGTTGCTTTTTCCCTGTTCCTTCGGCAGCAGCAGCCGAGAGACACGGGATTCGAGAACGCTCCGACGTCATCTTCGGAACGTTCCGACATTGAGTGCTCTGCGAAGGGGAGGAGGGCGGCGGAGGAGGCAGGAGGCGGGGCGCGCTCGGCCCTGCCCGGCCCTGCTGTGCGGCGCGCGGCCGCTGGGGGCGCCAGAGAGGCGCAGAGTGCGCGGGACCAGGCGCAGAGCGCGCAGTCGGGCTGGCGGAGCGCAGAGCGGTGAGGAGGCCAAGAGCAGTCGCGCGAGTTCCTCCTGGCAGGGTCGCCTCGAGCCGGGATGCTGCGCAACGCCGCCCTGCACAGCCAGCAACCCCGCAACTGGAGCGACCCCCGGCAGAAGTATAGGTGGCCTCTCCCGCAGCCGCCGCTGGAGGACCCAAAGTTTTGCACGTTGCATGTCCCTTGCTCCCAGTCACCCATCGTGCGGTGTTCCCGAGAGATCCCGGGGGCTTAGTGGGGACCAGATCGGCTCTTCTGCACCCCTCCACCTCCACCCTACCCCCAAAGCAGGACGGGGATTCTGGCGAGTGCACCTCCCACTACCATACCACCTTGTCTCCTCTCCTGGTGAGTCGTGGAACCCGTTCGCTACGCAGAAGCCTTCGGGAGCCAGAAGCAAAGGGGAAATTGGACGTGGCTCAGAGAAGTAGGTGAGTAGGAGGCGCGGGGTGCGGCCATACCATCACGGGTTGCGGGACAGGCAAAATCCCAAACTCAGTTTGGCTCTGGTGACCCGGAGCGTCTGTGCGATGCGTGTCCTCGCTGGCAGAGCCACTGCAGACACTTTGCTGCGCGAACACTAGAGCCGGAGCGGGCTCTATGCTCTTGGAAGACCTTCGAAGCCTAGCTCCTCCCTCAGACCCAGCGCTTCCCACGGAGCGTGTAGGGCGGCAGGAGCCCTAGGCATCCCACCGGAACTTGACTCCCCGGAGTGTGGACGCTTGGTGCTTTGAGATGTCCTGCCTGACCCTAGGGGCAGCTAACTGAGACCTTTAACATCTTCTGTTATCTCCTTAAAATTGTTTGCTTACTAGGAATTCTCTAAACTGTAAAGACACCCTTATCCCACAATCCGTAACTTTTCTAATTGCCCAGCATCCTTCCACTGTTGTCCCCGAGAGCCCTTTTGCCCCACTCTGAAGCGTTGCTTGATTCTGAGATGACTTTCTGATGAGGCTGGAATGCCCTTGCACTCAGCACCCTGTACCTCAAAACTAGCATTAGGATTGGGGCAGTGAAGGAGGATCTACAGACTTGTTTCAGCATTTATCAGACATAGGTAAATCTCTGTTAGCTTTCTTGGATGGGTTGTTACCTAAGGGGCAACCGGGTGAGGAAATTCCAGTTAAGTACTTGTAGTTTGGGAAATATGTATCATGCCTTGACATCTTAGATAAGCCAGGCACTGTACTTCGTTTCTTCATCCACCATCTTTTCAAACAACACTGTTTCTCATGAACCAATTGTTCACAGGCAGGGGGACAGGGACACTCACCCTGGCCCTCACAGAGCTGCAGTTGGAGAAGAATCAAGCTTCAGGAAGAAGCTTGGCACATGCTCAGTGATACTAGTGTGAGAGTGGTGTGGACTTTCATAGCGGAGATAGCCCTTGGAAGAACCGGAAACAAGCTAGGAGTGATCAGAGAATGTGTCACTGAGAAAATGGAATCTGCTTTGCATCTTGGAAATTGGGAAGGATTTATAGTAAGCTGAGGTCTGGTCTTGCCAAGGAAAGGGGACCACACAGACGCTTTGGCTGAGCATGTGTGTGGGTATGGGATATGGCTTGGCTGTGTCCTACTAGGACCATGGTTGGGAGTTAGCTAGAGGCAGCTAGGAAAAAAACAACATGTTCCATTCAGAGGAAGTGTCCCCAAAATGGTTCGATGTCCCTTAGCTTAAGTGAATGCATCCATTCCATCTGCCACTCTTCTTGCTACATTTCCCTGAGCATCATAAGCTGGGGGGACTTTGCTACACCATTAGTTTTCTATGAGTTTTCAGCATCCGAAAGGCAAGTGTGGCACCCACCCTGCTCTTTCCTGCACTGCTGTCTGGTGACAGATTAGAAACAGGACTAGCATGAAAGACACACACACACACACACACACACACACACACACACCCATACCAGGAGCACCAGGCACCAGTTGGAGGAAGAAAGAAATACCAGGCCTTTGCTGACTGATATCACTAGAGCCCCATGAGTGGGTCTGTGATGAACACAGACTCCTTAGATAAGTAAACTGCAGGAAACCAGGACATTTGCATTCCAATGGGGCAGGACAACCTCCCTGGGGATGTGTCATCTGCCTTACAATTGCCCTGCTTCCAGCAGAGCCACTGGGCTCCAGTCCCTTGGGCTCCTGACCACTGTGGTGTGCAGAAGACTTCTCTATTCCCTGTGGACAGTCTTGATGGATCCTGCCCTCTTCCTAACCACAGTCATTTGCCAGGCCCACACAGGAGCAGCCCTTCTTTAGCCCTTAATTTGAATGGAAAGAACTGGAATATTGTTGTTCATGTATAAATTGAAGCAAAGCCAGCCTCACTATTTAATGTGGTTGGGGAGGTAGATTGAGGAGGTAGTCTGATCATTGGTTTGAAATCAGTGGCATCCATTGCAGTGTGGGCATTTGCTTGAGAGCCCAGCTGAACCTCTCTACTTGATTTGTTAAAATGGGCAATGAAGCTGCGGTTCTCTTTGATTGGTTGTATTAGGTAAAATTAGGGGTGCTGAGTCCTGGGCATAAGGCCTGATGTATGAGTCATCGGATGTATTCGCCATATCATGATAGTCTCTCTTCTCTCTTTCTTGTGCTCTTGCTCTCTCTCTCTCCTTCCCTCCCCCCCCTCAATTGTTGCATTGGTTTTGTTTTTGTCTACTTGGGATTTTTGTTGTTGTTGTTGTTGTTTTTGGTTTGGTTTGTTATTTAGATGGGATATCACACTATAGGCCAGGATGTTCTCAAATTCAGTGTGGCCTCACAGCAGTCTTTAGCCTCCCACACTAGCTGCCTATTCCTCTAGTCAAGATGCATGAGACGCTGTGAATAGCAACTGGCAGCTGGAAAGAGGCCAGCACTCTGATGTAATTGCTTCCAGTAGAAGAAGCACTGAAACTTCTGTCCCAAATGTTACCTGTTCAGCAGCACAGGGCAGCCCTCGGCAGGAGCCCTTCCACTGGGAACAAAGCTGCTTTTCCTCACAAGCACAAGGCCTCATAATAGAGGGCAGCATGGGATCTCTACACATTATTTTTGTCTTCAGATATCTTGTTTCTTACAAACGAAACTTAATATTGACTTCTAAAAGTGTTTTGCTCCTGGAGTTGAAATGATAGATCACAGAGATCATCCTGTTACACAGCCCCTTTGGGGGTTTTCCCTCCTGTATTAGTTACTCTTCTCGATGTGACTGCATCCCTGACAAAGCAGCTTGAATAAAGGAAGGGTTTTGTGGTGGTCTGAACACTTGGTCACCAGTTGGAACTGTATGGGAAGGATTACGGCCTTTTTGAAGGAGGTGTGTCACTTTGGGCTGAGGGGCTTTGGTGTTTCAAAAGCCCAGCCATCCCGTTAGCTCTCTCTGCCTCATAGTTGTGTGAGCTCTCAGTTGTTACTTCTACGTCATGCCTGTGGCCGTGCTCCCCACCATGATGGCCATGGACTCACCCTCTGAAAACATGAGCCCCTAATTAAATTATTTTATAAGTTGTGTTGGTCTTGATGTCCTATCACATAGAACAGAAACTAAGACTGGTTTCTGTGGCTCACAATCTAAGGGGGCACTAGTTTCTCAGGGCAGAGAAGACGTGGTAATAGGAAAATAGGGCAGCTGATCACATTCTGTCCAAACTCAGGAAAAAAGAGCGAGGCTATTACTGGTCCTCAGCTGGCTTTGTTCCGTTTATGAGTAGGGACCTCCCCACACCCATCCATGGTGCTGCCCACATTCAGGGTGGGTCTTTCCACCTCAAGTAAATCTGGAGGCTTGCCTCCTAGACAGTTGTGAATGCCATCCACTGGGCACAGGAGGGAGCATTTGTACCCAGGATAAGAATTGCCAGGTACATGCACTTTCCATTTTAATAGCCTTGCCAGTAGCTGTGACTAGTCCAGACTCCCTGTAGCTGTGTAGAAGTGTGCCTGCCCTTCTCATCACACCCTCATTAATGCTCAACATTTTCAAATTGCTAGCTCCTGGCAATATGAGGGGAACATGTCTTAAATGCTTGCATTTCCCTCAGTTTGGGTGTTTTGGGATATTTTTTTAATGTGCATTTTAGGCCACTCTTTGAAGTACTATGTCTGATTTGTTTTTGGCATTTTGAGGCCTTTGTATTGATTTGAAGGAATTTTCTATGCCTTCCAGACATTCAGCACTTCTGCCTGCTTGGAAATGGTGCCACTTTTCAGCTTGTCACTTTTCTCCTTTTAATTGTCTTTTCCAAAGAACTTAGATATGTGGGACTTCTTGCAGCCTTCTGCTTTGTGTCTTGATTAAAGAAACTGCCCATCCTCAAGACCATGAGTCTTACAGTTTCTCTTTATGCTTGGCAGGTTTTTGTCTCACATTTAGATATCCAAATTCTTTTGATGAATAATGTAAGGCAAAACATTAATTTTACTTGGGCCCTTGGGAGACTGAGGCAACAGGATTGTGAGTTCCAGGACAGCCTGAGCTACATAGCAAGATTCTGTCTCAAACGAAATTTAAAAGTATCTCAGTTAAGGTTTTATTACCGAGAAGAGACACCATGACCACGGCAACTCTTATAAAGGAAGACGTTTAATTGGGGCTGGCTTACAGTTCAGAGCTTTAGTCCACTATCATCATGATGGGAAACACGGCAGCATGCTGGCAGACATGGTGCTGGAGGAGCTGAGAGTTCTATATCTTAATCCCCAGGCAACAGGAAATGAACTGAAGAGCTTTGGGTACCTCAAAGCCTACCCCCTAGTGACACACTTCCTCCACCAAAGCTACACCTCCTAACAGTGCCACTCCCTATGAGATTATAGGATTATGGGACCTATTACTTTCAAACTACCACAAAAAGTTTGCTTTCTGGTCCTTCCCAGTTGCCCT